CAGCCCTCCGACGTAACGGTCCACCCGCTCCGCTTCGTGCATGTAGCCGACCTGCTCGCATAATGCGAGAAAACCGCTCGTGTAGTCTTGAACCGATCCGAGCTGCCGCCAAGTGCGCAGTTTCTGACGCGCCGAAATAGAAGCCGCGATCGGCTCGAAGCGCGCCCGAAGCCCTACGCACCACGCATCCTGTGAAGACAGTAGCTAGAAGTAGGAGCCATAGCTAGGAGAACCCTAGCTAGGCAAGAGAAAGTTTAGGCAAAAGGAGGAGGGGTTTCACTAGCAGCAATGAGGATACATATAGCAAACCCTAGATGGGTTGTACTCGCTATAGAGCACCCCACTACAGGCTAGAGAATAACATTCTGACACACCCCATAGCCAAAGTGGGGTGTAATCAGTACAATGAGCAAGCAGGTATAGAGCAGAAGTTCATAAAGGTAAGTAAAACTAGAGTCATTCACAAAGGGCAAGTGAGGAGGAGGAGGCGAGACTGTAGGAGGAGAGGAGATAAGAGGCGACGACTGAAGCTGCAGACACACGGGCAACAGGAGTCAAACTGGCACAGTGGCTACCGGAACAGCGCCCCGGAATACAGGAGTAACTGGCTCCGCGGCTAAGTGCGGCAGACGAGCAACGGACCCACGGGCGACTGGCGCAGCTGGCTACGACTGGGCTACCGGAACAGCGCCCCGGACTACAGGTGCTGCTGACGACAAGACGGCAGCCTCCGCTCAACCTCCCCCGACCGTCCCACCCCCCTCTCACACACCCCCTGTTCGAACCCTAGCTCCACTCCCACGTCACCCCCCTAGCACCACTCCTTCGGCTCCCACACACCCACCCCCCTCAGCGGCAGCTGCAGCAGCGGGAGACGGAGGAGGAGGAGGAGCAAGGGACGGAGCACACGGCCAGCACCCCCATAGGCGCCACCCCCACACTCGCCACCCCCCAAACCCTAAAAGAGGCAGAATGGGAGGGGGGAAGGGGCGATTCGGGGGCGATTCGGGGGAGGGCGCGTGGCTCCCCAGGGCAACGCGACGGGGCAGCGAGTGGGGGGGTCGCGCGCGGCTCCCCAGGGCGCCGCGACGGGGCAGCGGGGGGTCGCGCGCGGCTCCCCAGGGCGCCGCGACGTGGCTGCGGGGTCGCGCGCGGCTCCTCAGGGCGCCGCGATGAGGCAGCGGGGCCGCGCATGGCCCCCCAGGGCTCCGCGACGAGCGGGGGGGGCCGCGCACGGCTCCCCAGGGCGCCGCGATGGGGCAGCAGGCGTCGCGCGCGCTTCCCAGGGCGCCGCGACGGGGCAGCGGGGGCGACGTGGGGGTCTGCTGCAGGCGACGGGCGAGCTGCAGCAGGCGACGGGAGGGAACCAACGGGGGGAAACCGCCGCGCGCCCCGGGGCGCACGGCGGGCAGGAAACCGCCGCGCGCTCTGGGCGCGCGGCGGGAAGAAAAATATGGCGTCGCGCCCCCATGGCGCGCGACGGATAGGAAAGCAGCGGAAGCATCGAGTGGGGCCCACAGGCCATGAGCGTAACCGCTCTGACACCATGTAAAAACAGTAGCTAGAAGTAGGAGCCATAGCTAGGAGAACCCTAGCTAGGCAAGAGAAAGTTTAGGCAAAAGGAGGAGGGGTTTCACTAGCAGCAATGAGGATACATATAGCAAACCCTAGATGGGTTGTACTCGCTATAGAGCACCCCACTACAGGCTAGAGAATAACATTCTGACACATCCCACGTGCTGTACTGGGCGGTTTCGCAGAACGAACTCCAGGTGACGGCTGGACCCGCGGGCCCTTCCTCTTGCGACGGTGGCTCGTAGGCGCGTGGCGACGTCACGATGACTCGCCACCAGTCCATGGCGGGGCCCCTCAGCAGCGAAACAGCGTATCGAATCTTCGCTGCGTCCGACTCGACGTAATTTGCGTCGAAGAAGACGTTCATCGTGAAGATCCACGATTGAACCGTCGGACCTCCACGCTGGCTCGGGTCGAAACAGGGCGGGCGCTGCGGCTTAAGTGGCATTGGCGCCATGATTGCTTGATCGCCACTTGTTGCCGCAAACTCCACGTGCCGACGGGCTTCTCGAGGCTTCTGAGGGCTTGGCGCGACCCGGTTCCTTCCCATGCCAGGCATTGGCTGGGCGGCGCTATCACTGGCTGCTCCCGAGCGCTGTCCCACGCTGTCGTTCTGTGTTGGTGTGCCGGACGAAATGACGATCGGCTCCTCCGATTGTGCAGGTACATTTTGTGGTGCTGGGGCGCTCGTTGTAGCTTGCTGACGCGCGGAGTCTCGTTCCGCCGTGAGTGTCGCGATTTCGAGCGCCGATTCTTCAACTTGGCGCACCAGACGGTCGAGTTGCTCCTGCGTCAGAGTCGCGAGATTGAATTCAGCCATGGCGGGGGTGTCGGGCAAGCTCAGCGAGAGCCTCTGTCGTGGCCGTGCGTGCTTACGAGAGAGCACTACGAGCGGCGGTGCTGTGTCGCTGAGAGACGTCTACCCCCTCCAAAAAATTGAGATAGTGGGGAAGCGAAGGTGTGGGTGCGGTCCGAGAAGAGATCGTAGGCTCTGAATACCAAGTGTTACGAGTGCAATGGAGTGAGCGAACGAGGATTGCACTATCGAAGCAAGAGTACAATGAGCGAAGGCATGAGCGAAGAATATATAGCGAAACTACAGTGGTAACGGTAATGTGTGGAAATTGGGGTGCGCGACGGGCCTAGCGCCGAGGGTGGGAAATGTCAGAATCCCAGTCACTAACCACTGGGATAAAAGGGCTTGTTTGTGTAGCGGGTGAGTGCGCCCATAACCCCCCAGGCCAACATGCCTGTAACCCTTCCCTAGGATCATCGGGGATCTCCAGTGGACCTCTGACACCCCCCCGCACTGGGATGCCCGAGGTGCACACACCGGGATTCGAACCCGAGACCTTCGCTCTGATACCATGTCAGAATCCCAGTCACTAACCACTGGGATAAAAGGGCTTGTTTGTGTAGCGGGTGAGTGCGCCCATAACCCCCCAGGCCAACATGCCTGTAACCCTTCCCTAGGATCATCGGGGATCTCCAGTGGCCCTCTGACAGGAAATGCCGAGGCGGAGGTCCGGAGCGCGGGTTACCAACCGAGCCGTGAGGTTGGGTCGCGGCGTGAACAGTGGCGGGAACAGTATCGAGGCGAGTGTCGCGAGTGGTAACGGTGTACTGTCGGATGGTGGTGGCGGGAACAGTGGTGTACGCGCTGAGAAGGGACGCGGAGTAAGGAAAAGGAATTTTCCTTACACATACGCGCAAGTGCGAATTTGCAAGTTTGAGCTTAAAGTTGGGAAACAGAGCCGCCAATAGGGTGTGTAGGTTACCCGGTTTTGTCTTCTTCACAACGCCATAAAATTGAATCCCGTCAATGAATCGCGTCTTACAAAATTGCACCCTAGACCTCCAGCTCACCGTCGCTCCCCAGACTGCTGCACAAGCTACAAATTTCACCGTCGCAGCCAAAGCGCGTGCGCCTGATTTCACGCTCCAGCGACATGTCATCGTGCCACGACACATTCCACGTGGAGGGCTTTGCTTGAATGTCTCTGCTTCTGGTTTCGGTCGTGCGTCTATTGGGGCACGAATGTTTTGCGAGCTTCGCTCAGTCCTCGTACGTGCCTCAAACCACACATGTTCGGTTCATCGTGCTAAACCACGTTTGAGCATATTCTCGAATCTTGTTCACTTGGGCCGGTTCGTACTTGGTATTTTCCAGTTCGAACTCCATATCAACGAAAGAATTAGCGAGCATTGACGAAAAGGGTTGCCACCTAAAGTTCGACCTATTTTACGAACTCCAAATAGATTCACACACGCCCTAACTACTTGTTTTATCAAAATTACAAGGCATATATGAATCCAAAGTTGGGAATAATAAACGTTATCTTACGCTTTGGACCATTCCAAGAATATAGGGAGCTATCATCAACATCTAACTCGTCAACCACATATTTGTCAAACTTATGCACTATAGTCTGTGTAGGCTGTAGTGGGGTAGCTTATATGGGGTACAACATTCTAGGGTTTGGTACTTGTACTCCTCATGCTGCTCAATGCAATCATTCTCGTTCTAGTTTTCACATGGTATCAGAGCAGGTTCCCTCGTGGGAACTGTTCCTAGGGCCCACCGACTTTTTTTTTTTCCTGCCCGGAGCGCACTCCGCCCCTGCCCGAGTCGCGCTCCCCTCTCGCTGCCCTTAGCGGCCCCGTCGCGCCGCCTTTGCGGCCCCATCGCGTCGCCCTCGCGGCCCCGGCGCCGCCTCTACTAGCCCCGTCGCCCTACCCTCGCGACCCCGCGGCCCCACCCTCGCGACCCCGGCGTCGCCCCTCGCGGCTTAGTAGCAGCCGCCCGCGACCCCACCGCCGCCCGTAGCGACCCTGTCGCCCTTCGCGCCGCCCGCGACCTCGTCCCCGCGGCCGCCCGCGACCCCGTCGCCGCAGCCGCTCGCGACCCTGCCGTCGCAGCCGCCCGCGACCCCGTCGCCGCAGCCGCCCGCGACCCTCCTGTCGCAGCCGCCCGCGACCTAGTCGCCGCAGCCGCCTGCGATCCCGTCGCCGCAGCCGCCCGCGACCCCGTCGCAGCCGCCCGCGACCCCTGTCGTCGCAGCCGCCCGCGACCCCGTCGCCCCACCCGTGCGACCCCACCGCCGCCCTTCGTGGCCCCGTCACCACACCCGTGCGACCCCACCGCCGCCCTTCGCGGCCCCGTCGCCACACCTTCGCGGCCCCGCCGAGCAGTCGAGCCGCCGAGACGCCGACGCCGCCGAGCCGCCGTGCTGCCGAGCCGCCGAGACGCCGCTGCCGCCGAGCTGCCGAGCCGCTGAGCCGCCGAGCCGCCGAGCCGCCGTTACTGCCGTCGCGGCCCTGTTCCTGCCGGCGAGCCTCGGTCCTTCTCGCCTGCCCGGTAAGAGCAGCGCCTCCACCACTGCTCTGCCCTTGCCTGCTGCTCGCACTGCTAGTCTACTGCTGTCATGGCTTCCCCCAGTGTCCTCACTTTTGACGCTGAGGGTCGGGCCATTGACTTTGACGTCTGGGTAGATGACCTGCAGCTTTTCCTGCTGAGCGATAGAGCAGACGGTCTCTCCCTCTTTGACCTCACCTCTGGTGCCTCTCCTGCCCCTGCTGCTGATGCTGACGCCACTGTTCGCTCACAGTGGGCCACGCGCGATGCTGCTGCCCGCCTTGCTGTGCGCCGCCACTTGCCGACCGCTGAGCGTGCGCACTTTAGCCAGTACAAGAGTGCTAAGACCTTGTACGACGCTGTAGTTGCTCGCTACTCTTCCCCTGCCACTGCTGCGCTTAGCCGCCTCATCCTACCGTACCTCTTCCCTGACCTCGCCGCTTTTCCCACTGTCGCTGACCTCATTACGCACCTTCGCACTAGTGACACTCGCTACCGCGCTGCGCTTCCTGCTGAGTTCTGCGCCAAGAACCCCCCCCCCCCATGTACATCACCCTCTACTACATAGTCACCCGGCTCCCTGACACCCTTCGCCCGGTCAGGGACCACTTCCTCTCTGTTTGCCCCACCACCCTCACCGTTGACCTCCTCGAGGAGCGCCTTCTAGCGGCAGAGAAGAGCATAGTCGCTGTAGGTGCCTCTCGTGGTGACCCTCGTACCCCTGTCTTTGAGGGGTGCTCCCCCTCTCCCCTCTTGCCCTCTGTTGCCTCTGCTGCTGCGGCCGACCTCGTTGGTCTTGAGTCGGTCGCTGCGGCGTCTGCCCCTAGCGGGAGACGCCGCCCTGGCAAGGGCAAGGGGGGCAAGGGTGCTGGAGGGGCTGGAGGGGGCGGTGGAGGCGGAGGTGGAGGTGGTGGAGGGGGTGGGGGTGGCGGTGGGGGTGGTGGCGGGGGTGGGGGCGTCGGTGGCGGGACTGGAGGTGGAGGTGGAGGCGGCGGTGGCGGTGGGAGCGGAGGTGGCGGAGGTGGCGGTACTGGAGGAGGTAGCGGCGGAGGCGGTGGAGCTGGTCGGGGTGGCGCTGCGCAGAGGGTTTAGTCCGGTGGTGGTGCGCGCCAGCAGCAGCAGCAGCAGCGTACCCGTGAGACCCCTTCCCCCCAGCAGCTTCGTGAGTGGTACACTGCTCGTCAGCGGGGCGGGGGTGCTGGCCCCTGTACCTACGTTCTCCGTACCGGCGACCGGGCGGGTGAGCAGTGTGGGGGCGCGCACTCCACCCAGCGCTGCTTCGGCCGTCTGACGGACGCGTGGCGCCACCAGTTCCCCGACGCTACTGAGATCCCTCGCTGGGGCGAGCTGTCTAGGGCGGGTGTTGCGATCTATGATCTTGATTATGATGCTATTCTTGCTGCCATGTATGCTGTGACTATTAGTGATGAGGGTGACTGTTACCGGTGTTTTCCGCCTGACCCAGGCATAGAGGCTGCTGCGCTAGGTACTTGTGAGGCTGCTGCTCTAGGTGCCAGTGCGTCTGCCGCCCCAGGTGCCGGTGAGTTTGCGCTCTCAGGTGCTGCGTCGTCACCGGACACCCACACCTTCACCCTTGACTCGGGTGCTTCCCGCTCCTTCTTTCGAGACTGCACCACTCTCACGCCGCTCAGTCGGCCTGTTGCGGTCTCCCTGGCAGACCCCTCTGGGGGTCCTGTCCTTGCCCACTACTCCACTGTCCTACCGTGTCCGGCGGTCCCGTCTGGCTCCCTGTCGGGTCTTTACCTCCCCTTGTTCTCTACGAACTTGGTGGCGGGTGCTGACCTCCAGGATGCAGGAGTTGACCAGTTCACCCCTGCGCGTCAGCGGGTGACCCACTGCACGTGTGCGGACACGGGCCGACACTTGGCCACGTTTGCCCGTCGGCCGGGGTCGAGCCTGTACACACTGACTACTGAGTCTCCTCCAGTCACTGAGTCTGCTCAGGTAGCTGCGTCGGGTCAGGTGTTTGCTGCGGCGTCCAGGTCTGGTCCTGAGTCTGCCCCCTGCTCGTGTCGTCTCCTGTCCCACCGGACTCTCCTTTGGCACCACCGCCTTGGTCACCCCTCCCTGCCTCGTCTTCGAGGCATGGCTTCCCGTCTTCTTGTCTCTGGCCTCCCCCGGTCCCTCCCTCCTCTTCCTCCGGGGCCTGCCCCTACCTGCGTCCCCTGCGTCGAGGGGCGGCAGCGCGCTGCCCCTCACTCCTCCGAGTTTCCTCCGACAGAGGCTCCGCTGCAGACGCTTCACATGGACGTGTGGGGCCCAGCCCGCGTCCGTGGGCAGGGTCACGAGCGTTACTTCCTGCTGGTGGTTGACGACTACTCGCGTTACACCGCAGTCTTCCCCTTGCGCAGCAAGGGTGACGTCACTGAGGTGTTGATCGCCTGGATCCGCGCAGCTCGTCTCCAGCTCCAGGAGAGTTTCGGCTCGGACTTTCCTGTTCGGCGTCTGCACTCTGACAGAGGCGGAGAGTTCTCCTCCGACCTTATGCGGGCCTTCTGTCGTGCACGAGGCATCCGCCAGACCTTCACGCTTCCGGACTCTCCGCAGCAGAATGGGATTGCTGAGCGCCGCATCGGCATGATCATGGACGTCGCTCGTACGTCCATGATCCATGCGGCTGCTCCCCATTTTCTGTGGCCGTTTGCGGTTCGGTACGCGGCGCATCAGATCAACCTTCACCCCCGGGTCTCCATGCCGGAGACCTCCCCTGCTTTGCTGTGGACGGGGAAGGCTGGCGATGCGTCTGCGTTCCGTGTCTGGGGATCTAGGGCGTTTGTCCGCGACTTGTCTGCGGACAAGCTGTCCTCTCGTGCTGTTCCCTGCGTCTTCCTTGGCTTTCCCCCTGACGCGCCAGGCTGGCAGTTCTACCACCCCACCTCGCGCCGTGTCTTCGCGTCCCAGGACGTCACCTTTGACGAGTCGGTTCCCTACTACCGTCTCTTCCCCTACCGCACTGCGTCCCTCCCTCCCCCGCCGCTCTTCCTTACGCCAGGTCCCCCTCCGGTAGACCCCCTCCCCCCTCAGGGTCCTGCTCCCTCAGGTGTGTCCCAGGTAGATGCAGTTGAGCCTGTCGAGGTAGCTGTTGACTCTGGTGCTGCTGGTGGTGCTGAGCCTGGGGGTGCTGGGTCTGGGGGTGCTGCGACTGGGGGTGCTGAGCTTGAGGGTACTGCGGAGCCTGGGGGTGTTGAGCCTGGGGGTGCTGAGCCTGGGGGTGCTGAGCCTGGGGGTGCTGAGCCTGGGGGTGCTGCGCCTGGGGGTGCTGAGCCTGGGGGTGCTGTGTCTCGGAGTGCGGAGCCTGAGGGTGCTGGACCTGCTCGTGTGGCGTCTGGTGGTGCTGAGCCTGGCGGTTCTTCGGGTGCTTCGTCCCGGCGGGAGCTGCCCTCTCCCTCCACAGGAGCTGCGTGAGTGGTTCGCCCGGCGCTGGCGGCGTGCTGCTGGAGCTGGTGGTGCTGCGGACGCTGGAGGTTCTGCTGCTGCTGAGGGTGCTGGTGCAGAGGGTCCCAGAGGTGCTCGTACAGGGTGTACTGGAGCTGCTGGGCCTACGGGTGCTCCTCCTATTGGGACTGGTGGTGCTACTGGTGCTGCTGGCGTTGGTGCTGCTGGTGCTCCTGGAGCTGGAGCTGCTGCGTCTTCGGGTGGTCCGACTGGAGCTGGGGCTACTGGGGGTGTTGGCGCTGGAGGTGCTGCTGGCGCTGGTGCTGCTGAGGGTGCTGGAGTTGGTGCTCCTGGAGCTGGGGGCACTCCTGGTACTGGTGCTCCCGTTGGGAGTGCTGGTGCTGTTCCTGCTGGCACTGGTGGAGCTGCGCGGCCACGGCCGTACTTCGTCCCGATCCTTGAGCAGGTTCTTGGTCTTCCGTCCTCTCTTGGTCCTGCTCCTTCCTTAGCGTGTCCGCCTCCTGTCCAGTCCGAGTCGCAGTTACCGCCGGCCTCCCCGCTTCCTTCTCCTTCTCCCTACACTGGTCCTACTGGAGGTCTTGCTGAGCGTCGTGAGCCTGCGTCTCGCCCTGCGTCGCCTGTCCGCGCTGCTCGCACTAGTGGTCGTGGTTCACGTCAGCGTCCTCCCCCTGTCCCCGGCACGCACCGGATGTCTCTGCATCCTTACACTGCTCCTCTGCGTGCCCCTTTGCCTTCTCCTCCCGCGTCCTCTCTTCCTGACCTTCCTGACCCTGAGTCGGACTCCCTTCGTGCTGCGCGTCCTACTGTCACGCGTCTCCTTGCTACTGTCGTCACTGACCCTTCCTTTGAGTCTACTGCTGCGTCTGCTCTGGTTGCTGAGCTTGTCGACTTCGCTGCCCGCTGTCGCCTTGACTACGCTGCCAGTCTCGTCGCTGCGTCTGAGTCTGTCTGTCCTCCGTCCGTCGGGGGTGAGTGTGCTCTTGGCACGGACGTCCTTGAGGATAGGCAGGAGGAGTTCCAGTGCTTGGCTGCTGCTTCACCTCATCTCGTGTCCATGCTGCTTGCCCCTGAGGGAGACCCGGATGCACTTGACATCCCGACTCCGCGCTCTTACGCGGAGGCGATAGAGGGTCCCTACTCCTCTCAGTGGCAGGCAGCCATGGACGCAGAGATGGCTTCCTGGAAGTCCACAGGCACCTACGTTGACGAGGTTCCCCCTCCTAGGGCGAACATCGTCAGTGGCATGTGGATTTTCAGGGTGAAGCGGCCGCCGGGTTCTCCGCCTGTCTTCAAGGCGCGTTACGTGGCTCGTGGCTTCAGTCAGCGGCAGGGAGTTGACTACTTTCAGACCTTCTCTCCCACCCCGAAGATGACCACTCTTCGGGTACTGCTGCACATAGCCGCTCACCGAGACTACGAGCTCCACTCTCTTGACTTCAGCACTGCTTTCTTGCAGGGCAGCCTGCATGAGGAGATCTGGCTGCGCCGCCCACCTGGCTTCACTGGGACTTTTCCTCCTGGCACCCAGTGGAGCCTCCGGCGGCCAGTCTACGGTCTCCGCCAGGCGCCTCGTGAGTGGCACGACACACTGAGGACTACACTTGCGGCTCTTGGGTTTGCTCCTTCTACTGCCGACCCGTCGCTATTTCTGCGCACCGACTCTTCCTTGCCGCCGTTCTACATCCTCGTGTACGTCGACGACTTGGTCTTTGCTACAGCTGACACTGCTGGACTTGCCTACGTGAAGTCCGAGCTGCAGAAGAGACACACATGCACAGACCTGGGTGAACTGCGCAGCTACCTTGGCTTGCAGATCACCCGGGACAGAGCACAGCGCACCATTACCCTGACTCAGTCACACATGGTGCAGCAGGTCCTTCAGCGCTTCGGCTTCACGTACTCCTCGCCTCAGGCCACTCCTCTGCCTACACGCCACTCGCTCTCAACTCTGCCTTCGGATGAGTCCGTAGAGTCGAGTGGCCCGTACCCAGAGCTTGTCGGCTGCCTCATGTACCTGATGACCTGCACTCGACCTGACCTTGCATACCCTCTTAGCATTCTGGCACGCTATGTTGCTCCTGGGAGACACAGACCAGAGCACATGGCTGCAGCGAAGAGGGTGTTGCGCTACTTGTGCAGTACGTCGGGCATGGGGCTTGTGCTTGGAGGGCAGAGTTCAGTGGTCCTCACTGGTCACGCAGACGCTTCTTGGGCTGACGACCAGGCTACGCAGCGGTCGTCACAGGGTTACACCTTCAGCCTTGGCTCCGGCTCTGTTTCGTGGCGATCTACCCGCTCGTCTTCTGTTCTCGGCTCCAGCTGTGAGGCTGAGATCTACGCAGGGGCCATGGCTGCACAGGAGCTACGCTGGCTCACCTACCTGCTGACTGACCTGGGAGAGCCGCCTCGTTCTCCTCCAGTGCTGTACGTAGACAACAAGGCCATGCTGGCCTTGTGTCGGGAGCACAGACTGGAGCACAGAACAAAGCACATCGCTCTCCGCTACTTCCTTGCTCGTGAGCTGCAGCAGCGTGGTCAGCTGCGCCTTGCTTACGTGGCCTCTGAGGCCAACACTGCTGATATCTTCACCAAGGCACTCGCGCCTTGTGATCATCAGCGCTTCTGTACTCTGTTAGGTCTTGTGCCTACCTTGCCTCACTTGCTTACTTCTTGACCTTGCTTGTACTGTTACATATATATACCTGCCCTTGCTTGTTTAGCGTTATATATATGTACCCTTGCATGTGAACTGGCCTTGTGGCCTTGAACTTGTGCTCAGACTGTGTGGTGACGTTGTGATCCACCCTGAGCTTGCTTTGCCTTGCTTTGCTTGACTGGTCTTGTGACCCCTTGTTCTCCCCCACTTTGCCTATGGGGGTGTGTCAAACTTATGCACTATAGTCTGTGTAGGCTGTAGTGGGGTAGCTTATATGGGGTACAACATTCTAGGGTTTGGTACTTGTACTCTTCATGCCGCTCAATGCAATCATTCTCGTTCTAGTTTTCACACATATCCCAACTACACCTCTATTATAAGTTGATAAGTATCATTTTACCAATAGAATGTATATATGGTGATAAAACGACACGAGAATGCGTGCAAAAACAGAGCTCCCCAAGAAGCAAAAATATTTATACAAACCCGCATAAAACATGGTCAGAAATACATGTGCCATGTACATCCCTCCAACGGTTTACGCAACCATACGCGTAATCTAACGCACTAAATAAAAGTAGCATTGGAAGCGAGCATGGCTTGTGGATCAGCTCAAAGTCCTGCTAATGCAATCAGCAGAAGAGGCATTGGCAGTGGAGTGGGAGCAGGCCCATCAATCCGGCTATAACTATGCTTCAAGTGAGCATGTCGCGTGGATGAGTCCACAGACTTGCCAAAGCAAAAAACACAAGAGAACCAGGAACATGGGCTTATTAAGATGATATAATCGCATGGAAATGTAATCAACTCGGTAAAGATCATCCTTCTGGAGCACTTCTAGCACCGTCATGAGATTGCAAGCCCCACTATTTCCAAGGAATAGCGCCACCGGCCCGCAATGCACGTTCAAGCAGCCTTTGGGTGAACCCAACAGCTTCTGGTTCATCAGAGCCACCACATGGACTGATGGATGGGGTTGTGGGGTGGGGAAGAAGGGTAAAGTGCAGTGGAATGCGGTGAGAAAGATTGTGCATAGTAGGGGATACCTCAATGCCACCATCATCCCATGCATGTTCAGACACTCCTTAGAATGTTCCAGAGCCACCACTCGGGCCCAAATGGGTGAGAATAGCAAGGAAACCTTAGTACTACCGACACGACTTGCAATAGAAGTGGTTGAATGCATCTCAATGAACCGTAACTAACCTAGAGCATTGCTACATACCCGTCTACTTCAGAGTCACCAGCACTATGAGGGTGGGTATTGTGGGTGCTTGATCACCCTACATAAAGTTGAACTCGATCTATGCTCCCAAATACAGAGCGGCGGGTCATCATGTCTCGCATAAATTTTATGTAAGCATTGGCAGCTGTAAATTTCGGCCTCAGCAAGTCAGCTTGATTCATCCCTCAAATCAGCATGGGGCTTTCTAGTATTACACCCTCCATATTCAGCCGGACATGGTCAACTATGTGAATCGCCTCACACGCACGAGACAGACCTGCGGAGATTCACGTTACAACGGTGGGAGCTAGACTAAGGGGTAGGCACATGTTCGCGTGTGTTCTCTCTACTTGTATATTCACAGGGAGAATTGGCAAGAGTTTCACAACAGGAGTTCACAACAATGGTTGCAACAACAATGACAATACTGACTACATAAGAAGCAAGTCTGCCTATCACACAGGCACGTCGACCGTCAGCGCAGCAAAGTCGACGACCTGCCAGCACTGCAAGTCAGCACCGCTTCAGCGATGCAGAGTGGCGGCTTGCCAACGTAGCAAGTCGTCGGCCTGTCAGCGCTGCACCAAGGCGGTCGTCCGGCGTTGCATCCGCAGATAACGGTAGCGCACCTACTTCGCAGGTGCTTGCAAACGGTTGGTGCGACATGCACCATCACGTGCACGGCGCCGGTGCCAAGCCGGCCACGAGGCGTTGACTGCGTTTGATGAGCCATATTGACCTCGGGATACCACTCCGAGGTCGGCTTCGCCGAAACCTCCTTGGCGAAGGTCATACAACCCGCAAAACCTCGTCGTCCTAGAAACTTGGTCGACCAAGAAACCAACAAATCGGCGTTGACTCGCGCGACAAAAGTCAACCAACTCATGTACGTGTGTCGGAGTTAACAGACAGGAATGATTGAACTAACAGAGAAATCAGTACAAAATAGCAAACCCTAGAATTGTGTACCCCATATAGGCTAACCCACTGTAGCCTAACAAACCCAACATATATAATGTTTGACACACCCCCATAGGCAAAGTGGGGGAGACCTAGGGGTCACAAGACCAGTCAAGGCAAAGCAAGGCAACAACAAGCTCAGGGTGGATCTCGAGGATTCCACACAAATTCCGAGCACAAGCTAGTGGTCACAAGACCAGTTCACATGCAGGTTTATAACAGAGCCAGAGATACAGCGATCACAACCTAGCAAGAGTAAACATGCAGGTATAGATATATATAGTGATCACAGTACAAGCAAAGTCAAGAGGTAAGCAAGTGAGGTCCAGTAGGCACAAGACCTAGTAGAGTGCAGAAGCGCTGATGGTCACGAGGCTGAAGCGCCTTGGTGAACACATCAGCAGTGTTGGCCTCAGTGGCCACGTAGCGAATACAAAGCTGACCGCGCTGCTGCAGCTCTCGAGCAAGGAAGTACCGCAGGGCGATGTGCTTCGTTCTGTGCTCCAGTCTGTGCTCCTCACACAAGGCAATGGCAGCCTTGTTGTCGACGTACAGTACTGGAGGAGAACGAGGCGGCTCTCCGAGGTCAGTCAGCAGGTAGGTCAGCCAGCGTAGCTCCTGGGCAGCCATGGCTGTAGCGTAGATCTCAGCCTCGCAACTGGAGCCGAGAACAGAAGAAGAGCGAGTAGAGCGCCAAGAAACTGAGCCAGAGCCAAGGCTGAAGGTGTAACCCTGAGACGACCGCTGAGTGGCCTGGTCGTCTGCCCAAGAAGCGTCTGAGTGCCCTGTGAGCACAACTCGGTCTCGCCCTCCAAGCACAAGCCCCATGCCCGACGTACTGCACAAGTAGCGCAACACCCTCTTAGCGGCATCCATGTGCTCCTTCCTGTGACGGCCAGGAGCGACATAGCGTGCAAGGATGCTAAGAGGGTATGCAAGGTCAGGTCGAGTGCAGGTCATCAGGTACATGAGGCAGCCCACAAGCTCTGGATACGGGCCACTCGGCTCTACGGACTCATCCGAAGGCAGAGCTGAGAGCGAGTGACCGGTAGGCAGAGGAGTGGACTGAGGCGAGGAGTACGTGAAGCCGAAGCGCTGGAGAACCTGCTGCACCATGTGTGACTGAGTCAAGGTGATGGTGCGCCGTGCTCTGTCCCGGGTGATCCGCAAGCCAAGATAGCTTGTCAGTTCACCCAGGTCTGTGCACGTGTGTCTCCTCTGCAGCTCCGACTTCACGTAGGCGAGTCCTGCAGTGTCAGCAGTGGCAAAGACCAGGTCGTCGACGTACACGAGGATGTAGAACGGCGGCAGCGAAGTGTCGGTGCGCAGGAACAGCGACGGGTCAGCTGTAGAAGGCGCGAACCCAAGAGCCGCAAGTGTAGTCCTCAATGTGTCGTGCCACTCACGCGGAGCCTGGCGGAGACCGTAGACCGGCCGCTGAAGCCTCCACTGGGTACCAGGAGGAAACGACCCAGTGAAGCCAGGTGGGCGGCGCAGCCAGATCTCCTCGTGCAGGCTGCCCTGCAAGAAAGCAGTGCTGAAGTCAAGTGAGTGAAGCTCGTAGTCGCGCTGAGCGGCTATGTGCAGCAGCACCCGAAGAGTAGTCATCTTCGGGGTGGGGGAGAAGGTCTGGAAGAAGTCAACTCCCTCTCGCTGACTGAAGCCTCGAGCCACGTAACGCGCCTTGAAGACAGGCGGAGAACCCGGCGGCCGCTTCACCCTGAAAATCCACATGCCACTGACGATGTTCGCCCCAGGAGGGGGAACCTCGTCGACGTAGGTGCGTGTGGACTTCCAGGAAGCCATCTCGGCGTCCATGGCTGTCTGCCACTGAGAGGAGTAGGGACCCGCCATCGCCTCAGCGTAAGTGCGCGGGGTCGGGATGTCTGGTACATCCGGGTCTCCCTCAGGGGCAACTAGCAAGGACACGAGACGGGGCAAAGCAGCAGCAAGACACTGGAACTCCTCCTGTCTGTCCTCAAGGACGTCCGTGCCAAGAGCACACTCACCCCCGACGGACGGAGGACAGACAGACTCAGACTCAGACACAGCAACAAGGCTAGCAGCATAGTCTAGACGACAGGCAGCAGCAAAGTCAACCAACTCAGCGACCAGAGCAGACGCAGCCGAGGACTCAAAGGTAGGGTCGGTGACAACAGTAGCAAGGAGACGCGTGACAGTAGGGTGCTCAGCACGATACCGGTCAGACTCAGGGTCCGGACCGTCAGGCAAAGAGGACGCAGGAGGAGACGGTAGAGGGACACGCTGAGGAGCAGTAGAGGGACGCAGAGTCATGTAGTGAGTGCCTGGGACAGGAGGAGGACGCTCACGACGGACACGACTACCAGTGCGAGCAGGACGAACAGGCGACGCAGGACGAGACTCAGGCTCACGACGCTCTGTAAGACCTCCTGTGGGACCAGTGTAAGGAGAGGGAGCAGGGAGAGGCGAGGTAGGCTGTAACTGTGACTGCGGCAGGACAGGCGGGGGACACTCTACGGAGGGAGGAGGACAAAGAGGAGGAGCCTGCCCAAGAACCTGCTGAAGGAGCGGGACGAAGTACGGTCGCGGCCGCGCAGCGTCTCCAGAAGCAGAGGAGACTCCAGCGGCCGGGTCCTCAGTACCAGTAGGAGCGCCAGCGTCCGGGTCCACAGCACCAGCAGTAGCGCCACCGCTCAGGTCCTCAGCTCCAGCAGCAGCTCCACCGTCCGAGTCCTCAGCACCAGCAGCAGCTCCACCGTCCGGGTCCTCAGCTCCAGCAGCAGCTCCACCGTCCAAGTCCTCAGCACCAGCAGTAGCTCCACCGTCCGGGTCCTCAGCACCAGCAGCAGCGTCACCGCCCGGGTCCTCAGCTCCAGCAGCAGCTCCAACGTCCGGGTCCTCAGCACCAGCAGCAGCGCCACCCCCAGGGTCCGCAGCACCAGGAGCACCACTCCGAAGACTGCAGCGGCGTGTGTACCACTCGCGGATCTGCTGAATGGGGGGGAGCTCCTGGGTAGGAGGGGAAGTACCGGGACGAGCTCCAGCAGCACCTCTCCGGAGGCGGCAGTACTCGAGGTACCTCTCCTGCAGCTGCTGGGAGGAGAGGGCTCCTCCAGGTGTAGCACGCGCAGGCTCAGCACCCCCAGACTCAGCACCCCCAGACTCAGCACCCCCAGGCTCAGCACCTCCAGGCTCCGCACCTCCAGGCTCCGCACCTCCAAGCTCAGCACCCCCAGACTCAGCACTCCCAGGCTCAGCACCCCCAGACGCAGCACCCCCAGGCTCAGCACCCCCAGACGCAGCACCCCCAGGCTCAGCACCCCTAGCAGGACGAGAGTCAACAGCTACCTCGACAGGCTCACCCGGGTCTACCTGGGACACACCTGAGGGAGCGGCACCCTGAGGGGGGAGGGGGTCTGGTACCTCAGCACCTGGAGCGAGGAAGAGAGGCGGGGGGGGGGAGCGGGGCAGTGCGGTAGGGGAAGAGGCGGTAGTAGGGGACAGACTCGTCAAAAGTGACGTCCTGAGAGGCCAGGACACGCCGCGAGGTGGGGTGGTAGAACTGCCAACCAGGGGCGTCCGGGACAAAGCCAAGGAAGACGCAGGGGACAGCGCGACGGGAGAGCTTGTCCGCGGACGTGTCGCGGACAAAAGCTCGGGATCCCCAGACCCGAAAACGCGACGCATCGCCAGCCTCTCCCGTCCAACGCAGTGTCGGAGAAGTCTCGGGCAAGGAGACACGGGGCCAGAGGTTGAGCTGATGTGCAGCGTATCGGACTGCAAACGGCCACAGAAAATGGGGGGCAGCCGCATGGCTCAAGGAGGTACGAGCGACCTCCATGACCAGACCAATGCGACGCTCAGCAACCCCATTCTGCTGTGGAGAGGCCGGAAGCGTGTACGACTGCTCAATGCCCTCCTGCTGACAGAAGGCCTCCAATAGGCCAGAGGAGAACTCCCCACCTCTGTCAGAGTGCAGACGCAGGACAGGGAAGTCGGAGCGGAAACGCTCACGGAGCTGGAGACGAGATCTGCGGATCCAAGGGATCAAGACATCAGGGACGTCACCCTTGGCGCGCAAGGGGAAGACCGTGGTGTAGCGCGAGAAGTCGTCAACAACAATCAGGAAGTACCTCTCCTGACCCTGACCACGGACGCGGGCTGGGCCCCACACGTCCATGTGGAGCGTCTGCAAGGGAGCAGTCGTCGGGGGAAAGGAGGAGGAGTGAGGAGCGGCGCGCTGCCGTCCCTCGACACAGGGAATACAGGGAGGAGCAGGCGAGTCGGGAAGGGGAGGGAGCACCCTAGGAAGACCAGCAACAAGGTCCCGTTTGTGCATGGCCCGAAGGCGCTACACAGACGGGTGACCAAGGCGGTGGTGCCAAAGGACAGTCTCATGCGTCAGAGAGCGACACGAGCAGGGGGCGGACAGCTGACCTGACGCAGACGCAGACGCGGACGCAGCTACCTGAGGGGACTCAGTGGTCAGTGTGTAAAGGTCCGACCCCGGCTCCCGAGTGAAGGTAGCCAGGTGGCGACCCGTCCGAGCACACGTGCAGTGTGTCACGCGCTCGTAGGCAGGGGTGAACTGGTGAACACCCCCGTCCTGGAGTGCACTACCTGCCACCAAGTTCGTAGAGAACGAGGGGAGGTAGAGACCTGACAGCGTGCCAGACGGGACCGCCGGACAAGGAAGGACAGTGGAGGAGGTCGCAATGACCGGACCCCCAGAGGGGTCAGCAAGAGAGACAGCAACTGGCCGAGCTAGTGGCTCAAGGACAGTGCGGTCACGAAAGAAGGAGCGAGAAGCACCTGAGTCCAGTGTGAAGGTGTGCAGTGCTGCAGTCGACTCAGTACCAGGGGGGACGGACGCACGAGCACCTAGGGCAGCAGCCTCACCAGGACCTGTGGGAGCAGACGCACTAGCACCTAGAGCGGCAGCCGGACTGGTCTGAATGCCCGGGTCGGGCGGAACACGCAAGTACTGAGCACCCTCTCCACTAATAGACATCGCATACATGGCAGTGAGAATAGCATCAAAGTCTAAAGCCCAAATATCAACACCCCTCTTTTCCAGATCAGCCCAGCGCGGCAGCTCAGTGGCAGCAGGAAACTGAGTGCGCCACGCGTCATTAAGGCGCGCGAAGCAGCGCTGCGTGGGGTGCGGCCTCCCACACTGCTGGCCGCTGCGGTCACCTGTGCGAATGACGTACGTGCAGATAACGCTACGCTGCGCATACCACTCACGGGCGGCCTGAAGCGTCGGGGCGGGCTGCTGACTCTGCCCTCCGCCAGTGCCTCCACGACCACCACCCCCACCGCCGCCGCCCCGGCCACCTCCACCCCTGCCGCCGCCACGACCACCTCCGCCTCCGCTGCCGCCTCCACCACCACTCCCACCGCTGCTGTCTCCTCCCCCACTGCCGCCACCAGTCTCCCCAGCCGCGCCTCCACTCCCACCGCCTCCACCCCCACCTCCTCCGCCACCACCCCCACCCCTGCCCCCTTTGTTCCTGCGGCGCCCGCTCGAAGCAGACGCGGTCCCGACCTTCTCAGCACCAAGAAGGTCGACAGCAGCAGCAGAGGCGACAGAGGGGAGGAGGGGGGAAGGGGAACACCCCTCAAAGAACGGGGTGCGGGGGTCGCCACGAGAGGTGCCTACAGCGACAATGCTCGCCTCAGCTGCAAGCAGTTCCTTCTCGAGGAGGGCAACAGTGAGCTCAGTGGGGGAGCGAGAGAGGAAGTGGTCCCTGACTGCGCGCAGAGAGTCAGGGAGGCGGGTGACGATGTGGTAGAGAGTGATCCAGAGTGGGGGGGGGTTGCTAGTGAGAAACTCGGCAGGCATAGCAGCGCGAAAGCGGGCCTCACTAGTCTTAAGGTGGGTGATGAGGTCTGCGACAGTGTGAAAGGAGGCTAGGTCGGGGAACAGGTAGGGGAGAGTGAGGCGGCCTAGCGTGGCAGAAGCGGGTGAGGAGTAGCGGGCAACTACAGCGGTGTAGAGGTCCTTAGCAGTCTTGCACTGGCCGAAGTGCTCGCGCTCGTCTAGTGGCAGGGAGTTGCGAATAGCAAAGCGAGCATGCGCATCACGGGTCTGCCACTGGGAACGCAGAGTGCTGTCAGCAGTCGAGTCAGGGGCAGTGGCATGGCCTAGGGCGTGATCGTACAGTGAGATATCTTCCTTGGCAGTGAGCTGTAGGAACAGATGCAGGTCATCTAGCCAGGTTTCGAACTTCACCGGACGGCCCTCGGCATCGAAAGCTAGAACGGGAGGGCTAGCCATAGCGACAGTAGCAGTAGGAATCAGGCCGCTGGAACAGTGTGCGGAGAGTCAACGGGGCCGGCTGGGCCACTAGGTAAGGCGCGGGCGGGGTCGACTGTCCGTAGTGGCACACTAGCGGCAGTAGTAGGTAGCTGGGCAGCAGGAGCTGCAACGGTGCACTGGTGGCTGGTGTAGTGGCAGCAGTGTGCACGGTAGATAGAAAATAATAGCAGTGAGAGCGTGGGCCTCGCGGGCCGAGGCTGAAGAAGCGCACGAGTGGCAGCGGCGGTGCACGAGTAGCGGTGGCGCACGGGCAGCAGCAGCGTAGGGGCAGCAACGGTGCTCGGGAGGGAGCGGTGCGCAAGCAGCAGCGGAAGAAGCGGCGTACAAGCGGCCGCGGGCAGCAGGGCGTGCGCGAGTGGGCGACGGCAGCTGCAGGCGGGCAGCCACGGAGACGGCGGGCTACGGGCCTGCGGGGCGGGTGTGCGCAGGCGACGGGCGGCTGCGGAGCGAGCGCGGGCAGGCGACGGGCTGCTGCGGGGCGTGCGCGAAAAGGCGACGAGCGGCTGCGGGGCGTGCGCTAGCGGGCGACGAGCGGTTGCGGGGCGTGCGCGAGCGGGCGACGAGCAGCTGCGGGGCGTGCGCGAGCAGGCAACGGGCGGCTGCGGGGCGCGCGCGAGCAGGCGACGGGCGGCTGCGAAGCTCGCGTTAGCGGGCGACGGGCGGCTGCGAGCGAGCGGCCGCTGCGACAGCGGGCTAAGGGCCTGCGGGGCGTGCGCTAACGGGCGACGGGCGGCTGCGAGGCGGCGCGACGGGGCCGTGAGGGGCCTCTAGGTCAAAAAACGACGGGGCCGCGGGGCCTCTAGGCGGGGCTCGATCGACGGGGCCAGCGGGGCCGAAAAAAAAAAAAGTTAATAATAAAGCGCTCGAGGGCGCTACGTGGGAGGCGCTAAGAAGGCACTCCGGTAGTAGGTAGGTAGGTAGGTAGGTGGGCCCTTAGGACGGTCCTAGTGAAGGACCTGCTCTGAAACCATGTCGGAGTTAACAGACAGGAATGATTGAACTAACAGAGAAATCAGTACAAAATAGCAAACCCTAGAATTGTGTACCCCATATAGGCTAACCCACTGTAGCCTAACAAACCCAACATATATAATGTTTGACAACGTGCTCGTCGGCCACCCAGGCCGGCGACCACCCGCCGACTTCACCAAGCCGGCCACTCTGCAGATCGACGAGCCCTTCATCGACCACCGTGAGGTTGTCCACCGACTTCGTCAAGTCCGACTGCTAAGGTCGACGCCCTCAAATTGGCTGCCCTCCCTGGGCGACGAGTCCCGTTGTCGACCACCAAGGTTGAAGTCGGCCGTTGGCTTCACGTCGTCAGCGGCTTCGCAGTGGCCCGTGCAGGTCGACCAACTCCATTGACCTGCTCGCCTAAGCAGGCGCTGCCCATTGCAGACGGTCGGGTGCATTTCTCGCACACCCGACTACGAAGTCAGCTCCGCCCAGGCAAGGAAGGGGCCAAATCCCGTTAGCAAGACCACTGTGTTGACTTGGTTCCGCGTTAGATCATCGGAATGTGGATGTGACAATGATTTCTATGTGGTGATTCGTTATTTGTGTTCCCAAAATATGTTGTACCAGATATGTCGCGCATTTCCTATTCAATGCCATTAGTCGCGATCGAGCGCTGTCCCACATTGATAACGTTTTCTGTTGGGTTGAGGCATGCGCAAGATTTGATGCATGTTAGAAAGAGTCTCGCTCCACAATGAGCATGGCAATTTCAAGCGTGTTGTCATGCAGGTGTTGCATCATTTCATCCATACTCCTTCGCAAGTTTGGTGAAGTTGTTATGGTCCACCAAACTAGAAGGCATTGGCTTTTCATCAAAACTAAACACGGCGAAAGTGGTAATGCATTCTTACGAGAGAGCATGATGGTAGCAGCTTTGGTGAGCGGAGGAGCGCCCATTATTTTGAGCATGAAAAGAGGAGTTGGAGGGCGAGTGTGCGATATGAAAGGACTAAGTATCTTAATGCGAATTATTATGAGTGTTGTATAGGAAGAAAATGAGGACTGCACTAATAGCCCAAGGAAATTAGTACGGTGTGAGCGGACACATCAGCGGACACATCAAGCGCACAGATGCGAGCTAGGCTATGCAGTGCCGGTAACGGAGTTCGGGCTAGTCCAAATAACAGGTCGATACGGCATTACAAAGCTGTGCGTGGTTTGGAAAAATGCAGCGTGTTGTGCAAAGAACACTGGCAGCTGGTTACAAGCTAACAATAGTCGAGGCCAAGTGTACAGCATTATACTTGGCAAAAATAAGGCGATGTAAGAAATTGGGAGAAAAAAAAAACAAGAGGCGACGAAATTGTCTTAGGGTTGCAGAGCTTTTTATATTAATCCATAATACAATTTCTTTTGCATCTCTTGTGTGTGTATTTATATATGTAAATATTTATTATATACATTGTCAAGAAAGCTAGGCTAGAATCAGAAATAGGAAAGGAGAGGGTTTCACTAGCAGGCAGTTGAGTACATATAGCAAACCCTAATTTGGGTTGTACTCGCTATAGAGTACCCCACTGCAGGCTAGACAAACATCACATTCTGACACACCCCCATAGTCAAAGTGGGGTATAATCAGCACAGCAAGCAGGCAGAGCAGTAGGTTCACAAATACAAGCAAAGCTAGAGGCTATCACAGAGAGCAAGTGAGGAGGAGGAGAAACTGTGGAGGCGAGAAGATGGGAGGCGACGGCTGAAGCTGCAGACACACGGGCAACAGGAGTGCGCAGCACTGTCGCTACCAGGCTATACCCGGACTACTCAGGCGACAGGCGCAGCTGGCTCTCTGTGCTCCCAGGAGTGCTCACACTGTAGCTACCAGGCTATACCCGGACTACTCAGGCCACAGACGCAGCTGGCTCTCTGGACTACCAGGAGTGCTCACAATGTGGCTACCAGGCGAAGAGCCTCGGACTACTCAGGCCACAGACGCAGCTGGCTCTCTGGACTACAGGCGCTGCGGACGACAAGATGGGTGCCTCCTCTCAACTTCCCCCAGCTGTCCCACACCCCTTTCACACACTCCCTGCTGTACCTCTAGCACTGCTCACACGCCACCCCCCTAGTACCACTCCGACAGCTCCCACACATCCACCCCCCTCAGCGGCAGCTGCAGCAGTGGGAGACGGAGGAGGAGGAGGAGCAGGGGAGGCCGCACACACCCGTCACCCCCATACTCGCCACCCCCAAACCCTAACACAGGCAGCAGCGGGGGGGGCGGTGCGCGGGCAGGAGCTCGAGGGAGGGTGGCTCCCCAGGGCGCCTCGACGGGGCAGCGGGGGGCCGCGCGCGGCTCCCCAGGGCGCCGCGACGGGGCAGCGGGGGGCCGCGCGCGGCTCCCGAAGGCGACGCGACGGGGCAGCGGGGTCGCGCGCGGCTCCCCAGGGCGTCGCGACGGGGTAGCGTGGCGACGCGCGGGCCAGCGGGGCGACGCGACGGGCTCCCGGAAGGGCGACGTGACCGCCGACGGGAGGGGGGACGCGCGGGTCGACGGGGCAGAAAACCGCCGCGCGCCTCGGGGCGCACGGCGGGCAGAAAACCGCCGCGCTTTCGGAGCGCGCGGCGAGCAGAAAACCGCCATGCGCCCCGAGCGCGTGGCGGGAAGAAAAAACGTCGCGCGCCACGGAACGCGCGACACACAAGACAGCAGCGGAAGCATCGGGCGGGACCACCCACAGGATCGACCCAGGAGGGTCGACCTGCTCTGATAGCATGACAAGAAAGCTAGGCTAGAATCAGAAACAAGAAAGGAGAGGGTTTCACTAGCAGGCAGTTGAGTACATATAGCAAACCCTAATTTGGGTTGTACTCGCTATAGAGTACCCCACTGCAGACTAGACAAACATCACATTCTGACATACATATACGTTTATACGGACTTCAACTATGGATAATAGCCTGATACTTGGAGCCGAATCAAGAAGAATTAGAATAACAAAGGGAAAAATAAGCAACAAATAAAAACATAATCTTAATGTGTCACAACAAGTAGCACAACTTAGTGTTTTTGGACAAAGAGAAAGTCAACACAGAGTTTCGAGTTAGTCTGGTTCTGAGAATTGATCACTGGACCTTTCGAACTGACGTTACACAGAGTGTTGAGCTACAGCATCTGTAACAATCGAATAAACTATTATTTTGTTGCTTTTGTTTTTGCTTTAATAAAATTCACCTTAGGGTTGTGTTTCTCTTTCTCGCTGGCATCTCCTCCTCGTTCCTAGTGCTTGTGCATCAACTAGTTCTTGCTTCAAATACTCCTTCCTCTACCCCCTGCATTTAAACTTAGTAACTGTTAAGGTGAGCTTAGAAGACTATTAGGGCGTATCTCAGTTCGGGTCATAGCAACTGTTCATTCAACTGTTTGGGTTATCCGCAATCCGTGGATGACCCAAACTGGCATCCGGAAGCGCGCGCAGTCCGAACTTCGGGTCATCCTGCAACCTCCATGCGAACGTCGTGCACGATCTGTCCCCCACCAATCGCCCGTTTGGGCGACTCCATTTTGGGTCCCCCTCTTTAGACGGTCGTCATCCTTCACTCTCCCCCGTCAATGTCCCAAATACACCACAATTGTATTGTACACATCCTGTGAATCGGACTTGACCACGCTGACCGATTCAATGCAACACGCTAGTCAAGTGAAAACCACGCTCCATGCGCCATGTTTTCTAGTACATCCGTATACAATAGCAAGCCGCAAGACTAGAATTGAGATGCTGAATTAGTCATGCGGCGTCACCTTACGCCCGCCTTGGGTGCACGTTAAACCGCTCTAGTACGTATCTGCGATTACAATCGGGCGTGAAATGTCCCTGCATAAACCATGCACATCACACATCTCATCATACTCTGTGTAGGCTTATACCTTTGACAAGAGTACCTTCTCAACACGTGGCAGCGCGTAGTCTCTCTCGCCGCGTTAGAGTGGATCTCCACTATCC